ACTAAACATATTAGTGAATAATTTTACGAATATTTGAAGTTAGAAATTGGATATTCACCCTTAAATAAACAAAATTCTATACAAAGTTTTTCTGATGTTATTGTAATTCAATATATTTTGACTCGATTTGGGTTATTTATTTTTTTAGTTTTTATTCTCTGATGTTAATAAAATCTAATTTTTTGGTACAAAAAGCTTGAAAATGTTATATAAGTAGTTATAATAGCAGTTGAGATATATTAAAGATCCATATGCATGATTTTTTTTTAAAGTACATAAAGTACATATTTGGATATATTTATCAAACTCAMAAACATTTTCAAATTATTTTATAGTTGATAAATTATAATATTTTCAATTTAAATACATAAACACAATCATTTTTTATGAACATTTTAAGTTTAAATTTGGACAAAATGGTGTATTAAAATTAAAAATTAGAGTTTTTTTTTWAAATTTAAATATATTACTATATATTCATATTTATATAAAATTTATAAAGTAGGTATATTATGATATTATTTTGAAAATGTGATGGCATTTTCAAAGATATCTTTTTTATGTTGGAAAAATTAATATAGCACACTATTTTACTAATGTCTAATAATAAGTTYGTTTTAACTTCTAACTAGAAATAATTTGCTATTTTCGTAATTTTTATGGTTTAGTCAAAATTTTGACTTCAGAAACTAGCAAAAACACATATCATTATAAAATCACTACATTCATTGTTATCTCTGAATCTAAAAAAGCTTTAATTGTTTGAAAACTTTTTAATTTTTATACTTTTCAAATTTAACAAACTTTTATTGCATTAATGGATACAAAAATCTTTTAAAATATTGTCATAAAACTTGAAATTAGGCACCAACAATAGAACTGACATATGACCTATGACCTTCTGTAAATTTCATTGATTTAGGATTTAAATACAGTTTAAATTTTAGTTTTCTAATATTTTATATAGAAAAAGATAATATATTAAAAATGGAGGAGTACATTTTTAAGTTTAGTTTGTACAATGTATATAACTTTATAGAAGGCTAGAGCTTAATATGTTTTGAGAAGTCAATTTTAAACAATTTATATGACATAAACATTAGTGTATATATTTCTTTATAGAATTAACTTTTGGATACATACACCTATGCCAATGCATTGCAGAAAATAAAAACTTTTTTGTTGCATATTCTACAAATAATATTAAATTATTTTAGTAGTTTAATATTATTAAACTACTAAAAGTGGTAGTTAATTAAACATTAATCTTTAAGTCTGATTGTAATTTAGAAAAATTGTTGAATTCATAAGATTCTAGACTAGGTTACTTAGAAATAAATTGTTCCATCTAAAGTAAGATATGATCAAAATAAATACAAAAATGATGCAATTATCTCACGGAATTTTATGAGTAATAACTTAATTTTAAGGTTCTTAAAAGTTTAAAATAGAAAATTATTTCCATAATATCCTGGATATTTTGTAGAAGAATTTATACATACAATAAAAATTAAAATCAGACATTATGCAGTATATGTAATTTACCACCACTCAATGGTCTAAAACATATGAAAAATACATGAGCTGTAATCCTCTTAATAAATGTATTATTGGTACCTCTCGTTCTTGTTCAGCATACTCAGGATACATCCAATAGCGTAACACTATGGTTCGCTGCTTTAAATTTTTGTCATTTTGCAGTTCTTGTAGTTTGTCGTTGATATTAATTGATTTTTGTTGATTAACATCAATTATTTCAGCCCGAAACCAAAGACGACGCCACGAAGTAGTGCCACCTTTAGAGCAATCACCAATGTCTGTATGACGTTTCCAYTGAGACTCCCGTACAAAATTGTGTGAACGTAACTCATGATCATCAAAAAGTGTTAAAAATCCTTCCAATCGTTTGCACTCCAATGGAAATTTTAGTTGTTTTTGAATCCTAAGTGCTTTACTGCTATTAGCAGCATATGTATTGGTTTCTGAAGATTTGCTGTCAAAATTGATATCATCTGAGTCATTTTCATATTGCTCTCCTTCCTCTAGAAGGCACATGCGGATGCGCACCGTTTCTTCTGCAGCAATGTTTGTATTAACCCTTGAACTGTTTGAACCAGATTGATGCACCTGGGCATATAATAACAAATATAAATATAAATAACAAATATATGCATAGACATAGATAGAAAATTATGTAAAAACCTTATTCAAAGTAAACTGCTTGCGGTCCACCTGACCATCAGAAAATACGAAATAACCAAGTTGTCGGAACACTGTATTCCGCACAGCCATTGRTCCACCTGGCGATTCAATACATGTTGTTGCTGTAGAGCCATGATGTTTTTTGGGTTCCTTACTGGGAGTAGTGACTGTTGACCATAGCTTGTCCTATTTTAAAAATGAAAGTATATATTAAAACTTAAAAATATCTATTTTTAATAAACAACTCAAACTAGTATCCATTATATTGTGTAAAATTATTAAAAATATTTAGTATAGCAWGGGGTTAATATAACAATAAGCTCAAGARTACCTACACAAACATAGTATTTACTATAACAGTAGAAATCATTACAATGAACATTGGTTAAAATGAGCAAAACATCTCAACAYCAGCATAGATGTAAAAACATACATTTATAGCGAATATAACAAATTTCCACTCCGAGTAAAATAAAATAAATTATACACTATTAATCTCCAATTTATTACAAGCAGATCTATTGACCATAATACATTTGCATTATATGAAGAAATTATCAAATATTTCATGAACAATAATCAAGATGAACCAAATAATGATACCAATGATGAGCAAAACAATTTTAGATTTGTACCACAATTTCAGAAGCTTGTGCAGTGTAATTATGAAAAATGTTGTAACAAAAAATAAGACACCAAAGATCATGAAAGATAAGCATTGGTTTTATTAGAAATTTCGGTTAGCACTAAATATTCTATGAAACGAGGATTACTTTAATAAAATTCAAATATCAAATGTATAAAAGGTATTGAATTGTAAGTAATATGTATTGAATCTTCAATTGTAATTAATATTAACAATAATGAATAATGAATATATTTATAAACATTAATATTAATCTTGATTATAAGTAAAAYTATAATATCATCCGTCTTTATTTATCTGCTTCTAACGAGTCACAACAAATTTTCATTGTATTAATATTATACAACAAGCTACCAGTTACAATGAGAAAAACTACTCTATAATCTATGGCCATTCAAATGTGCTGTAATCAATTTTTATTTATAGAACTTAGATTATACCARCGGTTCCCAAACTTTGCGTCACTGTCTTTACAGAGRTGCACCTGTGTTGTAAAATTGTATCATCCGTCCCATAAATTTAATGTGTAAATTAATATATACTTAAATCTTAATATAACTTATGTATAATTATAAATAAATAAATAAATATTTTAATATCCCCTGGATTATACCGATTAATTAAACAATTTTTATTTAAATACACAATATTAACAACAATGACTAAAACAATATACTGACCAATACACTCCTATTTTCGTGGACATCATGTTCTTTGACATTACTACCATTGTGGTGATCATTTTCCCCTGTACCTGTTGGTGATACACCATATAGCTCAACGGTGATTTTCCATCCTCTGTCATCCAACCCATGGATCATTATAGGGGCACCCTCTGATTCTGTTGGACCTGGACACTTTCGGCTACCAGAGTTTTTGACTCTTTTTTTAGTAATAAATTCAACATATCCATAATTTATTTCATCTGTGTTACGGCAGGTGGAAGCATCATTGGAGAATCGAAACACTGATTCTTCAACTGCATCAGCCGGTCGGGAAGCAGCAGTCACTGGTGGTCGGTGAACAGTAGCCACCGCTCGGATTGCACAAACAAAATACCTATACCCTCCTGGCCATCTAGTAAGGTTTTCTAACCCCTCACCTGAATTATGCTTAATCTTATTGTGGTTTCCACCACTATTCAAAGATGATAATATGGGAACACGAAGACTCTGAATAACGAGAGTCTTTCCATCACCATGAGCGTTTAAATAAGCAGATCTTTCTCCCATGATGCCACCTGGTAACAATGTGCGTTCAACACGAAGTCGTTGAGCCTCACGAACTGCGTCTGTTCGTCTCAAACCTATAAATCATAMAAAATTGAATGTATAAAAACAATTTTCTATCAATAAATAGGAACATTCACAAATATTAAGATGTTAATGTTAATAAAAAAAATTATTTATCATAAGAATTAGCCAACTTATTAAATATATCAGTCTGTAATATAATTTGTGCACTAAAAAAAATATTTAAGACTTGTGCCTTTTCACATTATACAATAATATTATGATAACAAGTCCTCAATTGTCAATGACAGTAGTATCATTTGATCAAACATATAATTTCGCATAAAATAAATGTTTAAAAAAGTTCAAAATTTGACATAAAAAAACATACAAATATCAAGATGATTAATAAATTGACTTGATAAGTTATAAATTAAAAGATTGTTTAAAGTAAAGATTTCTGTAGCTTGTAAAATTATAAGTTACTTGTTTGACAAAATGTTCAGAAATATTAACAAAAACCTTTATTTGGTATAACAATTCTTATAATACAATTTTTTTTTTAAAGTATTTAGAAAAAATAACTTAATAAACTTTTTAGTGCCTTTAAATAATTATATTGTGTAAGGCATACTTTAGCAACATTAAACTAGYCATGACTACGGTGGTTACCTGCAATCAACAAAAGTCGTTCAGCGTGTATATGCTCAGGTGAAAATTGATGAGAAGTCACTGGCCGAAGGGTATTTTTTTGCCTGTACACATCGCAAATATTTAAAGCTTGGGTGGCTTGCTCAATAATGCGGTCTTGCTCTGGTACCACTGTTCGTTCTAAGTCTCTAGCCCGTGCAGCAACTTTTTCTAGCTCTTGCAAATGTAATTCTTCTTCATCAGTATCTTCATCATGTTCTTCATTTACTCGTTCTGGAATTCTCATTTGTTGCTATAAATAAATATACACATAAATACAGGGTCGTTATATACATGGGATGCACAGACAGACCTGATAAACTAAAATGACAAATTGATACAAATTTAACATATGTGTAACGAGCCCTTCTAGGATCGTCAAGAAGTTGAATGGAATAATCAACACTTGATGTTTTTTTTGAATAATATTTT